GGTCGGGAACACTTTTTGTGACGTGGTTTGTTGGATTGCTGCTGCTGGTGATGTCCTTCCACTGCACCACCAGGCACCAGGAGCTTGTTGAGCAAGTAACTTGTCACGCCCTGCAATAATATTACTGATGGGGTTGCAAATAATTGAAATCAGGGTGGTACCTCCGTCACAAAGGAGACTCACTTTCCCAAAAGGAAACACCAGCTTGTACTAGTTGTTGTTGCCATCAACAAGTGATGCTCCTCCCATACAAGTCTGAAGGAGTGATAAGAACACATTTTTCAAAGTCTCCTCACACTTGCACTCCTTCCTACTACTATAGGCTTCCTCAACATTGGCAATCAAATGATCAATATCCTTTGACCACTTCTTATACTGCAAGCTTTCTTGGATTGAATTAAAGAATCCAAGGTCAAGTAGTACATTTGAATCAAGACTGTTTGGCGGTTGAGTGGTAACTGAAATATTCCAGCCATTGCTAGCTGCAGCTTCTGCAAAAGCGTCTCTAATGTATGCCTTATGAGGTTTTCCATTATCCTCCTGGATAATAAACTCCTGTAGTGAAGGTCTCAAACCTAAAACTGCAGATTGACAAAACAAGAAAATACAGGAGAAACATGCCATATTTTCCAAAATACTGCTTGTAAGTACCTGCCACTGCACATCAGATGCAAACATTGTTGCAGGTGGAACCAAACCTTCCAAAAGGATCATTCAGTACTTAAATTGCATATTGGTCAACCTGGTGTCATAATTGATGACAACACATAGATGGCAAATTATAGAGTCATTTGTTGTGCATTCTTCAAGACTGTCAAACTGAAAAATGGGTACCACCAGGATTGTGATGGATAGAGAAAGCAACTCAAAAACACTGCAGCAACAGCTAAATTTTGATGTCCACAAGAGAATGAATCAAAAATTACCCATCAAACTCAAACAAGTCACAAAGGAACACATTTAACTCAATTCCCAATTAATATTGTCAATACAAGAACTTTTCACAAATCACAGAGAACAAGATCTTTGGAAACTGTGTTGGTTTCAATGTTTTGGTTTCATCTCCTTGGTCTTACACAAGAGGCAATTGAATTTCTTATGTTGTTATGGGCTGCTGCTTCTTTCAACAAGACTGGCTGATTGTAAGAAGAACAACACCTCTTCTTCTTACAAACAAGGACAATATCTAACATACACAACAAATCAATGAATTCCATTCCTATTTCAGAAACAACAAACAGCTGCATTGCTTTCATTGATTAGCCTCTATATTCTTTTCAGAGCAGTACCAGTACTTACCAACTTCTTACTATCACTAATCATGGAAGTCAAGAGGGAAAAATAACTAGAATAGATTTACTTCTACTTGCAGCAAACTGCAAAAGACCTACTCTGGTTTTTGTACCATAGAAATTACAATTATTTGCTTTAGCAAGCCACTCATGGAAGTCAAAAAGAAAAAAATATTAGAATAGTTTTTTTGACTGGAATTGTTGATGGAAATAGGGAGTCTCAGGGGATAGAAATAATAAAAATCCCAAATGAAGTTTTTTATGTAGACTGTAGTACAAAAGTTTTTAGAGACTATTCACTGTTTCTTCCAGAAAATATACAGAGCCAATAGCTGGTGCTGTTTCTTTGAAATATGACAGTTTTTTCCACAAAATACATTTCATGCCACAGGATGACAACAATTTGACTTCCACTTGCAGGGATGATCATCATTGACTATTTTACCACGCCAGGCATGCTACCAGGTAATAGTCTGCTGGCAATAAGAATGGTAACTTGCTGGCGCTCTTAACAGAGCATTCATTCATGACAAGTATTGTTTACACTGAAATGTTGGCAAGGGGGCTAGTAAAAGAATCTAATTACTATAGAAAATATTTATGGTAGGAAAACAAGCTACCAGATTCTGGCCACAAATGCTACCAGATTGCTACAAGATTGCTACCAGATGGTAGCAATATGGTGGTAGCAGTATGGTAGCAATTCTGGTAGTAATAGTTTCTTGGAGGTTCCTGGGACTGGCTTGAATTATTTTTTAGTGCACACAAACTGAAAGGCAATAGTTAAATAAGAGTACAGTACTTGTGATGCAGGATTAAAGTCACCAGCAGCCAGCCAGCAGCTGCTCCTAATTGCTGTAATTATGCTCAATTTTTATGTGAACTAAGTGTTTGATAGGATTTATGGCAGCAATCCAGTATTCCTACCGGTTACCAAAAATCCTACTAGATTGCTACCAGATTGCTACCATCAATGCTACCAGATTGCTACAGCAAACACCACCAAAATATATGCCGTGCTACCAGTTTTTTAAAAAATTCTCTCAGCCCCCTCTTAAGTATCAAGTTAAGTATTTGGTTCATAGGACTCATGAAATGCTTCATTTTGTGTGTTAAGTAGCGCCTAATTCAATCATGGAAGTCAAAGACTGGAATTGTCCTTCTGGAGCTAGGGAGTTTGAGGGTGAGAAAAATGTAAAAACATGGTATCAACAAATTTTTAATTTAAAGCATGTACTAGGTTGAACATGTTTTTTTTTTCTGAAAAAATATAAAGTTACGGGAATGAGATGCCAGCTTATGTAACTGATTGCTGGTGGTTGTGTGCAACATAAAAATGATGAATGAAGCACCAACAACTTTCGACTTCCCCTGGCTTCGCACCGCAAAAGAAGACCTACTAATTCCAGCAACGGGTCTAATAGCAAAGGTGGGTGGTAAAATCTTCAATGATGATCGTCCTAGCAAATCGCAGAAGACCTAATTGGCTATGGTGCACTGCACTGCACTTCACTATCTTTAGTGTGCGGTAGCCAGTAACTTTGAAGAATTCTTAGTACAGTCCTGGACTTACCAACAAGGAAACAAGAAAAAGAAACTTTTTTTTAGTGTGGATTTATTACAAACCCCGGTATTTTAATTTTTGCAAATAAATTAGTACCTTGACCAAAATAAATTATTCATTTTAACTTAAACATTTAATCATTATTGTGACAACAAGTCATTCTAGCAATAATCTAGTTTTTGCACCGTAGTAAGAAGTTTTTTTGGCCGCCTCCCTTCAAAAAAAACAACGGCGGCGGCCGCAACCAATCTTCCGTCTGTCCGTCTTTTCCAATACTCAAAAAGTTTGCCACGAGACAAAAAATCGAAACGTGCGAAATTCTGAAAATAGAAAAATCTTAAAAAGATTTTCGAAGATTTTTGACGTTCACAAATCGATCTCATGTTTTTCTTCTACCGGTACAGTACACCAGAACTTGATAGCATAAATTATCATTCGTTCCCTCCTCGCAGCCTCTTTGAAAGAGAGGACGAACAAGTAGTAACACGAAATATTCTGTAATTAAGATGATGCCATTCTTTGCCTCATTGATAGCTTTATCATTCTTCTCGAGTCCGGTTTATCCGTTCGTTCTCAGTCGTCATCTCCCGTCACTTTCGCTGGGATCAGCTGCTGTTATCCCCACGTCGGAAAAGAAGCATTCGGAAACTAGTACTCTCAACTACCACCAAAGTTTCAACGAATATAGTGAGGACTACGATAATGACATTAACTACGTTTACGACGAAGGCATCTCGGGATCACCTTCTTCCTCATCGAAGAGTGCCCTGTATTCCTTATCCGTAACGGAGCTCAAGCGTTTGTTGACTGATCGGGGAATCGATTTTCGAGATTGTTTTGAAAAACAAGATCTTGTTGATCGCCTTCAAACCTCGCCACCTTCTTCAGGACAGAGTAGAGGATTATCTGACCATCTCAACAGCAGTGGTAGTAATCACGGTTTATCAGATCATGAACGAACCCTTGTACACACTTTCAAACGGGTGTCTCCTGCAGTTGCAAACATCAAAACATCTGCAGTCATTCCACAGCGTAACTCAGTGTTCGGATTGAACTTAGGTGCAGATGCGGAAGTACCACTGGGATCAGGTAGTGGGTTTCTTTGGGATGATAAGGGCCACGTAGTCACAAATTATCACGTGATTTCACCGCCCGGCACCAACAACAATGATAGGTTGATGAAAGGCAAAACAGTCATGGTAAAATTGGCCAACATGGCAGAAGCTCTGGAGGCAAAAATTGTTGGTTTTGAACCAGAAAAGGATATAGCTGTGCTTCGTATTGTGCACAAAGGTAACAAAGGAATAAAGCTTCCAAGACCCATTGATATAGGCACATCGAATGACTTGCAGGTCGGACAAAGTGTGTTGGCAATCGGTAATCCGTTTGGATTGGACGATACCCTAACAACGGGTATCGTTTCTGCGTTAGGTCGTGATGTAAAGGGTATTGGTGGACGGCCCATTCATGGTTGCATCCAAACAGACGCTGCAATCAACCCTGGCAACAGCGGTGGTCCTCTATTGGATGGTAGAGGTCGATTAATCGGTGTCAACACGATGATATACTCCCCATCAGGTGGAAATATTGGCATCGGATTCGCAATTCCCGTCGATACAGTCCGAAGAGTTGTGAATCAAATCATTCAATACGGTAAAGTTGTTAGACCTACCATTGGGATAAATGTTGTCGATGACAGAATCGTAAGATACATTGAAAATCAATTGGGTAGACCCCTAGATGGATGTTTGGTGGCGCAGGTCATACCCAACAGTCCGGCTTCTGTCGTAGGGTTGGAAGCAACGTCACAGAGTCGTTTCGGGTCGTTGGTTTTGGGTGATCTCATCGTTGCCGTGAACGGCGAACCGGTTCGTCAATCAGAGGATTTGATAGCGGCTATTGAAGAAAAACGCGAGAGAGATGTCATTGATCTTACTGTAATGAAGGAATGCGACCCAAGCAAAATGAGAGTTGTATCTGTTACACTGACGACCAGAGACGAACTTCAACAACAAAGCAACAACATCCGTAACTCAAACGCTGTATGGCAATAGAAAAAGTATTGCATCGTGAGGATTCATACCGGAGGAATATTGAATGCATCACTTCGTGCCGATAATGAAAAACTATTCTTTGAATATATGCGATCAATTGTTTACGAATAAATGCGCCGTAACGTTTTACTTTCATGATCCAAGACAACCAGAACTGCCATTTTTTCACTGGATTTATACTATGGTAAGGTGCTCTTCCAGCAATCTTTCCACTTTGATGCCAGATGTTTCTAGAAGTCTAAGATAGATACTCGACAGTATTGTTACAAGATATTTCATATTTCAAAAAATGTTTCCATGTTTATCTCGATCTCAAATCAATGACTCCCTGCAAAGAAGAATTGAGATCTCATTAACTCGAACAGAGAAACCGCTATATAGCAACCACCCGAAACATCCCGTGAGATCTTTCTTCTTCTGTTTCAGCAGGCAAAGATTCCTCTTCGTCCTGCCTCTTGACTCTAAGCCTTTCCACTCGAGTTGCGTGTTTTTGCCTTGCCAGACAGCACTTTTTATACCTTAAACCACTTCCACATGGGCATGGTGCATTTCTCTTCACGTTTTTTATTGTGTTCTTCTCCGTTTCCTCCTCTCGTTTATCAGAGAGTGGCAACGCAGAGAACGAAGTAGTAATGCATTCAATCTCGTGCGACCCCTGATGAGTAGTTTCATAGATGTTTGTGTTTTTCGTGTGTATTTTATTTGACAATATGTCATTCATTGGTAGCATTCCATTTCGTACAAGTTTCGGTGGATGCAATTTGTTTCGAACGGAATTGTAGTGATCGTTGTCGTGGTAGCTGACAAGCAAATCTGGCCCCATTGATTTCGACTCTCCGTGGTCTATTGTGAATGCAGCCATCGTTTCGGAGTATACCGTGATACTGCGTCTGCGAGACAATCGCTCAGTTATTAGTCATTATATTCATCGGTTTGTTGTGTTTCAAAACCAGTTTTTTCCTAAAGCAACCAACGCAATCGGCTTTGGAGCATTTCAGAACATTTTTCATTTGCCACTTACCGATAGAGTCGAGCCGCTGCTACAACTTCAAGATTCCCACCCCATTGGCCTTGCTCGCGCATGTTTCCCACATAATGATCGAAATCTCTGGCGTCTTCTTCGCATTGATCTTCGTCGTCCTCGTCCTCGAAAACAAGGAATACCTGAAAATCTGCCTTGTTTTGTTCCATAAAGTCGCACACCACCGCTCGTACATCATAGTGCATTTTACCGTAATCCCCAAACAATTGATCCGAAAGCGATCGAAACAAACAATTCCCGTCAGCACTCATCTCTACAATCTCTAGCCCATCTGCGTTCAGAGTTTTCCTTAGCTTTTTACAATCGTCGGTATCGTAGTCATTATCGCCCCTGTTGTAGTTTCCATTTTTCTGCTGTTGGTTGTTATCCCTGCGTTTGTTGCTTTTCTGGCAACGTCGGCCAATGGATGGTGGTTGCTCTTCCCCGTCGTCGGTGCTTTGGTAGCACCCTTTTCCTCTCTTTGTGGTCTTGTTGCGTTTCTTGTTTGGACCTTTGCCCATGTTTGTTCTATAAGGCAGATTGGATTCCGTTTTCACCGTCCCATCAGAAAGATAAAGAGAGAGAGATGAGGTCTCTGTCTCAGTCGCAGAGCCGAGAGTATTCCCAAGGTATGGACGGCTTTGATTGGATCTGAAGCCGTAATTATTGAATCCGTTTTTTTTATTGCAGTACTCGTACTGGTACGTGTGCGTATGTGTACTCGTAATCATTCTGTGTTACTATCGGTATTTAAAGAAGTTCCTGAAGTCGGAAATTATGAACAGACAGCGTTGCGTTGAACGGAATTGGACGGGTTGTCGTAAGTACCCAAGTACTGTACGTATGCAGTCAAGCCGAAAATCAAAACGAAATCCACCATACAGTTAGCCGATAGTAGAAAGAACAGGTTAAAAAAATGAAAAGGATTACGCTGCAGATTCCCGACGCGAACCAAGTCATGACGGTCGTAAACAACGTACCGGTACAAGGTACCGCCGATACGTACGAGTACCGTACGTACCGGTACATCGAATAGAAACAGAGCGAATGTAACCATGACTAAATTTTTCGCACGTTCTCCTTTTTTATCCGTTTTTACAAGAAATCATTGTATTGAGGTTCAGGTTAAGGATGAAACAACTGAGGTCGCGGCACGATTGATTTGATCGAGATGATTTCCCTTTTCATTGCGAAAGCGACTCCAATGAATCACAACACGAACCAACGCCTTCGGCTGTCACCTCTTACACTATCCACAACCGAATACTGTATCTGAAACGCTCGCTTCGACGTTCCGAAACCTGAAGACCATTGGTACTGTATCATAAAAGGACCTATTGCACCTTATTCGAACTTCAGAGCCATAAAGTTGCACCCGGTCGGCAACGCTTAGGGAAGAAGCCTCGAAACACAGGTGTTTTGATTGGGACCACGAATGATATCGTCGTAAATGATGCCTAGATTATCTTGCTGTGTGGTTGTCAGTAATTCAAATTTAGAAACGATTTCACAACGACTTTAGTGAAAGATTACCGATCTGCTTTGACCTATGTTTCCAACGAATTGGAGCACACGAACGAATTCACCCAGCGGCAACGAATCACTCACATCGGCCAGAAATTCATTCATCTTCTTGTAAGAACAACGGCGGCGAAGCAATTTCCACGAAAGCAATAAAATCAAAAGACGATTCCGAAGTATGTGTTGTGGATGAATGAATTTAAGTAAGAGACACCTAGTATTTTAAAATACATTGAGACACCGATGCCCCAATCGACCTCATTCCACTACTTAGATACAGTACTTCCGTAGCAACTGCCTTTTGTTTCAAAAGACATCACCATTGGAGGGACTGTGGAAGTATTACAAAAATAATACTGTTGATGGCTTCTAAAATGCTTACTCCTTGTTCTGAATGCCGAATGATCCCCGCCTGAGAATTCGTCTCGGCGTTCCTCTCGTTGTCAGAGATGCGTAGTCCAGAATGACTGCCTGCCAATACGTTTGCGAAGAAAGCTCCGTCACCGGAAGCTCAATACCGCCTTCTTTCGTCGCGGATGCATCAATAGATGCTTTGGTATCAGAAGACCGCAAAGCAGTATTTGACTTTGGCTGCCGTTGGGTCGCGGTCTGGTGCCGAAGGAATTCTTTGGCGAACTCGAAGGCTTCGTCGTGAGTCATGGACTCAAGCAGTTCGCGAGGGTCGTGGATGCCGTTTTTGTCATCACCGTGCCTTCTCTCGCATTGCTCGAACAGCCGACAGCAGAAGGCTTCTTCGGCCCGATCGGCATCGTGTCCCAGCACGGTGGCCTGGCAGTCCCAAAACTGGCCCGTCGGGTCGATCCTCCAGAGTTTTTTGTTTCCGAGGACCACGGCCGAACTCTTCGCAAACGGAGAAGCGAAACCAACGGTTGAGCAGTCGGTCGTTGGTGAGAAGGAAATGCAAGAGCATGTAGAGGACAAATCAACAAGGAATAAATTTATTGGCACATTGAAAGCCTTCTTATGTATGGAATACGAACTCCACTTTCACGGAAAATGTACATGACATCATACATGTCAACACCAAACATCACAATCGCAACGTACCGCTAGCATCCGCCCCAGCCGTTGCTTCTGGGTGGCTGTAATATCCTGGGTCACTACCTGCAGTTGGTTCGCTAGGTCCTTGGCGACCCGATCTGCCGCTCCCGCGAGAGGATCGTCTTCCTCGAAGTTGGTGGTGGCCAGACCCAGGTCCAGCAGTTTTTCTCCCAAGATACGATTGTCCACGGCGTTCCCCGCCGTGGCACCCACCATACAGGGATGAATGTCGAAGATGGGACCGGTCGACGTCGAGGCACACGTCTCTTCGAACAAGAACAAAGAGGGGTAAGTATGGGATTCCTCTCCGGTGTGGGGGTTGCTGTTGTTGCTGCCAGAGACATCCAAAGTCTCGTTGGTTGTCGTTTGGTTGCTTTCTATTCCATCGTCGCTATGACCAGAGTTGTCATCGTTGCCTTGCTGGATACTCGCGCTGCTGATTGTATTCGTTTGGTTCGAACCGGCGAGAGACGCGATCCTCGCATCGACGTTGGGGGAGACGGGATAGGTCGAGACTACCAGCAGCCCGTCGCGGCACTTGATTGCCACGAGCAGATTGGACAAGGGCGTTGCCACCTTTCCGGCCCGAACGGCCGCTTCTACCGGATGGAGGCGGCCCGTTGGCGAAAAGACGCTGGGCGGGAGCTCTTCGTACCGGGCCGCTTCGTCGATGCCCTGCCCGTTGGTGGACGAGACCGAGCCGAGCCAGGGAACGTGGTCGTAGTAGCCGCATTCTTCGTCATTGCCGCTAGTTTCTCCCCCATTTTCAGCTGTTCCTCGCGGTTTCCTGCCTTTCGCAGATGCGTTAATGGATTCAATGGTTTTTATCGACCGACTTGATGGTGACACCGACGCCGATGACAAAGAGGCAGATAGAAGGATTCCAACAACGAGCAGAAACTCCACCAAGACCGTGCAAGAAACGGCATGTTGTCGTGCGATGGCACCGCAGATTCTCATCTCGCAGCCAGCCAAAGTCTTGACGACACGATAGAAAAGCAACTGGCTTCAAGTCAAACCTAATTTGTATTGGTAACAGACGCCTAATACTGATATTGTTGCCGAAGAGAACAGGCGCTCGGTGATTTTAAGAAGGTTGCTACCGTAGTTGTGAGGATCAACTCAGATCTCAGTCCTGTATTGATTATGAGTACGTACGTACCGTACGAACGTACTCGTACGGTCGAAACGGGAGTACGAGTAACGAGTACGGGTATCGAGTACCTATCGTACTTCCCGCGTACGGTACAAGTACCCACGTTTTGCAACCCATGTCTCCTTTTTTCCCTACAGGATCCTGGTAGTAAATTGTACACAAATCCCCTATAAGGCAGTACGCATACTCGCTCCACTCTAAATGCACGCGTATTCATTTTTCTACGTATTTTGTAGTAGTGATTTCTACTATGCAGCCGTATTGGCACCTCTCCAGGGACGGCTTGCGTGCCAAATACAGTTGCCAAAATAGTGAAAATATGCGTTGAGTGCAACCATTTTTGCAACTCCCACATCAACATGGTCCCCGACTCGCCCACATCACGCTATCACGCTATCATTCCCGGCAACTAAAGTATAGCACTAAAGTATAGCAAAAAACACGCTGACAAGCTCACAACATAAAGCAAAGAATAACTAGCAAAAGAAACAGTACTGCTAATCCAATCACCAAAGCAAGCAATATAACAAGCCTACTAGCAGCAAGAAACCTATGGTAGCAGCAACAACAGCAGCACGCCAGCAGCATGCAAAGGCAAGGAAGCGACGCGGCGGATCCGTGACGCCTCCACGCGACGTGAACAAGCCAGGGCAATGGAAGAGATACCATTCTGTCCTTCTTGAACTGATGGATCACTTTACAGGAAGATTGGATCATGGGGGACTGAATGGAGACCATCGATACCCCAGTGATAAGCTCTTTACACACGAGGAGCTGAGCCATCTAAAGCCCAGGGATATCTACAAGTTCTTTGCAAAGAAAGTCTATGGACGCGACGATCCAGACGTCGACGATAATCCTACTGAGGGAAGATCTTCTTCACTGGTCTACTACAAGAAGGCCATCTCCTATTTCATGCCTAACAAGCTACATAAGTGGACTGTTGTTGGTGGCGTTGCAAGTGGCAATCCTACGAAGTCGCAGGAAGTTAATGATCTAATCGCGGCTGTTATCAAGAAGGAAACAAGAGGACTTGGAATGGAGAGCAGTATGGACAGGCCCCTAACAAAGAATGAGTTCTTGCAGACGATCGATTTAATGGGACGCAATGGGACCCTAATCAATCGATTAAGATATCTAGCTATGATTAAATTCCAGTACCATCTGATTGGCCGAAACGACGATACAGCACATGTAGCTAAAAGCAGCTTGGAAGTATCCACTGAATTCCCAAGGTTCCTCACAGCTAAGATGATCTGGTCAAAGAATGTTAGAGAGGAACGCGATTGCCCAAGACAGATTTTGCTTGGATCCATGGACCACAGATCTTGTGTGGTGCTTGCTCTTGCTTTATTCCTGGAGAAATGGTGTCGCTCAGGCGCTGGATCGTCTAGTCGGTGGTTGTTCACTGAAGGTGTTACTGATATGAGATCAACTGTTGCTGATATGGACAAAGAAGTTAACAAGGGGAAGAATGGCTATTCTAATTTTATGAAGCGCTATTCCTTTAATAATGAGGTCTTTGTTGCTGAAAGACCAGCTTCAGAAGGGAAGCTGGGAACCCATTCCATTAGGAAGTTTGCAACAACGTATGCAAGACAGTGTGCTTGTACAAGGGATGAAGTCGATTACAGAGCAAGATGGAAATCTAGGCGCCAGCAAGATAGATACACTGACACCCAGCTGGCTTGGCCTGATATTCATGTTGCATCGAGGCTTTGCTTTGGAGGCGTCTGTTACTACAAAGCAGTCGAGGGAACTGGGGTAACAGACCAGTGGATTATCTCTGCAGTAACACCAGCAACAGCAAATGTCTTTGGTGATCGAGTTGCAGCAATTCTTGGCAAGGCTTTGCTCTGGGCTTGCTTTGAGCCAGCAATGGAAGCATCTGGCTTGTTGCCGGATGATATAAAGCGAGATGTCGTTGCTTCTTATGTACAGCTCAGCTTCCAGCATAGAGGAGATAATAGAAGCATGGATGATGATAATATAAAGCCCATTGAAAGAGTAGAGATGATTGCTAATGAAATAGGAGGCCAAGTTCACTTTGATGAGTTAACTGATCCTGATGGAGGAGACGTCGGTGGAGGCAGCCATCGTGGCGTTGGTATTAGGAGGACTCAGTTGCAATGGAATGCTGCAATGTTTTCAAAGCTCTTCTCTACTGCCAATCAAATTAATGATATTAAGAACAGGCAAATAGCTGTTGAAGCAAAGTTCAACAGGAAGCTTAATCAAGCAATCGCGTTGTCTCAAAGAGCTGCAATGGCCCCCGTTGTTCGTCGACGCCCTGCTGCAAGGACAGCAGCAGGCACAGCAGCGTCAGCTGGAACTGATGAGGGTGCAGCAGAACTCACAAAGTGCCCTAGAGATCTCTTTGTTCTTTGGAATGAATGGGAAGTGGGCGTTGGTCTCAATAAGCCTGCAAAGGACTTTACTGCTGCTGAGCGCGGCAGAGTGAAGAGCAAGTACTGCAGGAGGAAGAAGTTCTGGAACTGTGTTGAAAGGCTCATTCGGGCTGGTTCTTCTTCTGATTCAGCAATCCGTAGGATTTATTCTGTCTATGGAGGCCCTGGGAAGCGTGTTTCTTCAATCCTTAGAGCTATGGCTCCCCATGAAGCTAATGGAGGCCACTACTTGCTTAGAGGGCCCGAGGACCCCACCAATTACTAGTAGCGTTGACGTTGTTATTTCTTGTTCTTGTTGCGTGTCGAAGTGTCTTCTTTCCTTACTACTTGTCCCCCCTCTTACATCGAAAAATCATAAAAATATAGTGTAGTACTGTGTATATGTGAACTGTAGTACTGTATTTTGCTATCCTCACTAAGAGGACCATCTTGTTAGCTGACAGGAGTGTTGGTATCGGTGTTGTCGTTATCGACGTGATTGTCGAGAATTACTCTCCCGACTTGGTTTTTTTCTATATAATTTGCCTTGTGCGTGATAGTGTGAGTACTTCTCATCAAACACGCTGATACTGCAGCACTCCAGTCTTGTCGCGCACTGTCTATAAGACCTACATAGAATATGTACTGTGTCCTACATGGTTGCATTTTTAGTTGATATTTCTTTGTGTACTTGCCAAGTATCAACAGGTTTTCTGTTTCATTAGTTTCGGGGACGATTACGTACGGTACTCTTACTCGTAGTGCTCGAAGTCGAGCTCGTACTCGTACTAGTAGTACTATCACAGTGGTAGTAGGAGCAGTACGTACTTCTATTACTAGCAGGTAGGTGGAAGAGATCATCATTGGTACAGCAACGAGAAGAATGTCGTGATCATGAGAAATTGTTCTTCCTGTGGTGTAGAGCTACTAAGTACGGGCCCCATAACGGCAAGTTATTGGCAATTTCCGTACGTCAATTTTTTCTCATTTTCCCGTCTCTATTTCCCCTCTCCCCCCATCCACACAAAAAACTATGAAGTCCGCAAATATTTNTTGTCGCGCACTGTCTATAAGACCTACATAGAATATGTACTGTGTCCTACATGGTTGCATTTTTAGTTGATATTTCTTTGTGTACTTGCCAAGTACTCGTAATGACACTAAGACGCTATCCGCACGATACGAGATTTGATCATAATCAATTAATGTGCTTTCACAGTCACCTGTGTTCCCTACCGGTTCGTACCGTACGGTACGTGCTGAACGAAGGCTAGTAGTTGACGAAGAATATTGTTATCATTACCAGAGCATCTCAGACACCAGAATACACCACCTGGTACCTGTCGGCATTCAATATGTTTCAAAATTGAAAGAGGAATAACTCCAGCAATACAGCATCGAAGCACCACTTAGTTTAGACTAGAATGTGGGAGGCTGCAAATGCTCCCACCCGAGACGACAACCCCGTGACCACCAGCGCTGCGATAGGGGTCGACAGGGGATACACTCACTCAAAACACGATCCTGGTAAACAGCACGCACATTCGAACCGGGAACACTATGGCCATGGTGATGGTAGATATCGTCATCTCATTGCTTCGTCAGAAACTGTCGAAGCAGCATTATCTCGATTGTCCAAGGCCTACACAACATCAATGGAATGCATCGGTGCCATTCACAAAACCAATCATATGATCTTAAAGGAACAACGCCAAACAGTGCGGAGCGGTGGTACCCATCAAACTCGAACAGTGGCTCCGACTGTTACGACAGAAAACAAAGCCTTACAATCGATCAAAAGGGTATCAAATGTGGCAAGGACAACCTTGGAGACAGCAATTCTCTTGGATCCTCTGATGCTTCCACATGCTCCAATCTTGCACCAATCCATGATTGAATTGTCCAACAGTGCCCCATTCAGCGACAACGGTGAACTCGGAAAAGATGGAATTCCGAGCAGTGCAACAGCTGTATCGAATTCATCGCGATGGAAGGCTGTTCAAGATCAACGGCCCATGCCACCAACCATCTCTTCGGCCGCTCACAAATCTACGCTAGTCAAGCTGGCATATTTGTCTTTGGTCAACTACTCCGACTTACTACAGCAAGGTTCTCGCTCTGACATTAAAAATCAAAAATCAACGAACGAATACACCATATTGGATCGTGGGGTCGTTTCGAGACTCCAATCTCTAGATAAGGAAACGTCTGCAGGTGTCAACGACAATGAGAAACAATGCTGCTGGTCACCCGAAACTCCGGAGGAGACGCAGAGGCTGGCTGTCGCTGCCCTGTGTGATGCTTCCAATCTGGACGGAAGCGATCCGGTTATGTGGCTTAAACTGGCCTGTGCCTCGCGTAAGCTGGAATCGCTAGTGGCCGAACGCCACAATCGAGGTAAACAACACGAATGTCGCGGGATTACAACGCTGGAACGTTCTCAGCACCGACGCCTCCAAAAGCACGCTCTCGAACGGGGAAGTGTTGCCCTCCCAAATCACATGCCACCAAATAGGACGATTCTGAGAGCCTTGGAAGAATTTTGTGGAGAACCGGAACCAGACGAGTATTATTCTGGCGGGTCGAGGTCGACGAAAAAGATCAAAGTTCACAAGAAGACATTGGGATTAACACGGTATTCTTGGTTAGTTCTTGGAAAGATGATCATTCGGGCATGCAAGGGTGAAGAAGCCACAACACCGTGGGAGCATTTGTCTCCCGCCTCTCTTTTGACAAAGTCTCCATTGTCAATGTTTGGGTCGCCCTCGGTTGTTCTAAAATTGTCCCCCATGCTCGTCCTCCCATCTCAAGTACTTGGAAAGATCTGTCAGTATCTTGAAAATACCTCGATTTGGAAATTTGAAGCGACTTGCAGGGCCCTCTCGGTCAACGTCATTGCAGCTCGCGCATTCATGGAAGAAAATGACAGCGAAGACGACAAGGACGAGGACGAAGCTGCTGATATGTTGTTACACAAACATGAACAGAAACAACGAGAACAGCTCAAAAAGATGGAAATTGAAAAATCAAAAGACCAGAATGAGCTTTTGGACGCAGAAAAAAAAGGACCTGAATTAGAAAACGAAGTGAACGAAGAAATGGTAAACGAACAAAGCGCTGCTATCAATAGAAACGAGAACAGCAGGGATACAAAAACTACTCAACCGAAGCAAAGTTTTAGGGCTTCAAAACGCCTGCGTTCTCAACAAATCTCAACTTCGAAGAAACAAGATCGAGCTGCAAATCGGAAATCTTTTGACTATTGTTTCGTGGCAGCTACACTTTCTTGCACAAAAGAAAAACATAACGATTTGGCCGACGGGTTGAGGAAAAAAAAAGAATTAGCTCATCTTTTTCGAGGTGTGGAAAATGCAGGATTTGCCTCGAACACGAGCGGCAGGCGAAGGACTCATTCTTCACTGCAAGAGAACACTCGTCAAGGTTCAAAGTCTATGGAAGTTAGGGAAAGAATTGGTGATTCGTCTTTGTCTGCTTTTGTTGAGAGGTGGACTATGAATAATTCTGGTCCAATGGACGTTCTGGAGCGGTATTTGGCGCATGTGGCACTTTTTGCGGAAGATGTGTTTGCAAGCGATTCGCCTACAATGGGACTTCATTCATGTATTATAACATCATTTCAATTATTACTGATGCGTAGCGGGTCGAACCAATGCATTGTACCGAAATTTTTCAAGCCAATCACAAAAACGGGGTCTGCTTTGCGTTCATTGGAAACATTTGCGATGGACCTTCTTAATGCGGAATTGATTTTGCGACAATGCGATAGATACGTTCCCAAAGTTGTTGAATTCGACGACGATGCGAATCTTATCTCGTTAATGATGCCCAGACTTGTCGAATCGTGTAATGATTTGAAAGAAGAAATCAATTCTATCAATACAGAAATAAAAATTTGTGAAAAGGATCGCAAAAAATTTCACGTATTGGAAATAAGATGCTACTGGCTTACAGCATGTTTCTATCTCTGGAGAAGCAGAATTGCGCGGCCAATATACATGTCAAGAGAAGCCGAAGACGAAGGGATTCATTTCATCGGAATGGCAATCGAGTGCTTCAAATCTCCTGTTTTGAAATCAACGAAGGTGATTAAAACACCCCAGCTCGCATCACCGGGACGCGAAGATGCTTTCTGGCATGAAATATCTGCATCGACGCTTTCTAAGTTTCGTGACGAGATCCAGGCCTCGTCAGTTGTATCACATGCCAGACAACGGTTTCAAGAATTGGTTGCACAACTTGATGCGGAAGAAAACACCGAAAGACTATCAACAGAAAGTGCTGGTGCACTCGCTGAAATCGGACGGAAACTCTTCGAACGATACAACTCTCAATATGGAAGCACCGAGTCGAAATTAGTAGAACTTGTGGACAATGTTCTTGCTGAATCTGCGGGAGATCTGTTTTTACGAAAGATTACGTCGCAGAGTTCAGAACAAGTCGATGAAACAAATCTTGATATAACTGACTTCATCCAATTGGACGCCTACAGGGTTGAAGACCTCAAACGGGTATCGAATCCTACTATATTGTCAATGCTTGTCATATGCTTGAATATGGATCAATCTAATAGGTTATCAGTCGCCCAGCTTCTTCTGAGATTGGTTCTTACTACAAGAGATATTCACAGCTTGCTCTTGAAGCAAATCGCCGATTATAGAGCATCACGAAAGCAAACTGATGGATATCACTCCGACAGTGACAGTGATGATGACATGAGCGATGCCGGGCCTCAATTATCACAGAAGGATGACGATGAAAAGAAAGCGAGACAATGTGGCCATTTTGTCAAGCTCCTGATAAAGTGTCTCTGCATTATTTGCAAATCTTATCTTTCAGATGATGATAGAGAAACATTGGTGATGTCGGACGAGTTTCACGAAATGATAAACTCCGTTCTTGATTTCTCAAATCAATGGTTCGAGTCGACTCTTCGTTTTTTGTCAATAACAGATGACACTCTGGATCAAGACCTTGTTGGCTTGATACAGAAACTGTTAAGCGAATCGAAACATTTCAATGAAAGGAGTAGGGTGCCCGAACCTCTTGAAGCGGTGTTCTTTCATGGTCTAGTGAAAATAATCATTTCACAGCAAGAAAATTTGAAGAATCTTTGTAACTCCCACGTCAAACGATCAAATCGAACAGCAATAAAGCGCCTTTGTATCCAAAGAGCGCAGTACATTGGCATCGTTGCGTCTAAATTGGGTGCGATGTTATCAACACATTTGGCGACCGTGAATGGGTTTGTTTTGAAGAAATCATCACTTTTTGAACCACATGATGTCGATGGAAGGAATAGCAGAAAGTCACACACTTCCAACGAGGAAATCATTTTTCTTCACGCGGTGAGATGGCTGAGGGAATTTGCTTCAAAGGACGTAGGTGAAAGTTTGACTGGCAGCAACAATGGTATCACTTCTAATTCGTTTGATCGCCCCATTGTAAAAGAGTTGAAGATCCCTATATCCTTGCTGGTAATCGGTTTGTGCGGCTCTGCTCCGTGTAGCCGGAACTCTGGGATTCTCGGAGTTGTAAGTGAAAGTGAAAATCACCAAGGCTACCCCCTGAGTCTCACTGAATTCTTCGACAGTGATGCTAGTATCAATGATTGGCAATCTGACAGTGAAGAAGACAACAATGAAAGAACGAAAAAAGAATTATTACGAGTCATCTGCCACGCTATACAATGTATCGTTTTGATTTTGGATGTGGTCGATGAAAAAGATACTATCACTAAGTTCCTTGAAAACGACTGCGACACCGCTTTTGGCCCACTACTGCCATTAGTATCCGCCCGAGTTCTTAATTTTTTTGCCGATACAATTCTTTTGAACTTTGGGGATGTGAAAGCATGTGGCAAAAATAGGGCGTTGCTGTGGTCGGAAGATTATCCTTATCGTGCGAGGTATATTGGGGAGCTTTTGGATACTGCTCTGTACAAAACTTATCGGTGGCTCTATGGTTTTGCACTAGTGGGGGAGCAAACTTACCATTATACTTCGGGAAATGAATGCTCCCATTCAACAAACAACATAAATGAAATTGTTGAAAAAGGCTTCAAACTTGAAAGTACGGTTGCAGCTGGGCAACTGTATCGATGTATCGTCAGGGCATATTCAGGCGGGAGGAAAACACCCCCAAAGCAGGCATTGGAGGCAGTGAAGGCTGCTTTGCCACCACATCGAGAGAGTGAACAAAGTAAGAAGTTGCGCAGATTCATGTTCTCTGGGGAGAACAATGATTTAGATATGAATTCACTATTGAACATGAATGAGCAATGGGACTCTCCTTTCGCGGTAGTACGAGATTCAATGATGGAGAATAAAGATTCTCTCGATAATAGTGCAAATTCATCTCTCGATGAACTCGAAGCAGCGCAAGTACGTCGCGGGCTTTCAAAGCAACTAGCACTGGGTCCATTACCAGTAGTTGCAAGCGATCCTAGAAGCAAATCCGACGCTGGAGCATGTGATGATCGATCGCAAACAATGTGCAACGAAATAGCTATTGCGAAAAAATTCAATGCCATTCTAGATGACTTGTGCTTGAGCGATGCGGATAACTGGGAGGGTTGGTATAGAGCTGGCCAATGCTGCATGATGAAGGCAGATACAATTGCTGATAGACTCGGTCTTACTAAAGGTTTCTCCAGAATTAAAGGATTCTCTGTTCAAGCTCACAGAGGTTCAACACATCGAAGCAAAGAAATTGGTAAATTGAAAGACGAACAAGAACAGGAAGAGAGGATGTTAAAACAAGTGAGCTTTCTCGGGCATGATTATTCATTTTATACAAACCATGTATGGTCGTCGTTGTCAGCTTTGCGTGATTTTGTGGCAAAAGTGAAGAAAAGCTTAGAGCGCGAAAACGACAAAGACAAAATTCTGTCTCTCGCTGTTTGGAACGAAATCGATTCTAAATTTGACGACGGAAAATACCTTGAGGGACAAGAAGCCTGCGGAGGGTTATTTGTTTCCGCACTTCGAAATCTTTCGATTCGATTTTTGTCTGTCGCTCTCTACATCCTCCAATCCAAAGCAGAAATTAAGTCCGATACCAAGGTGTTGCTTTCAGAAATTTGTGAAACTCTTGGGAACACCTTTTACTCAGAATTGATGGCTTCGCAGAAATATGGCTGGCCGATGCGCGTCCTTACGTCCAAAAGAAAACGAGACATTGCCATCACGGCAAAGGCCTGCTATGTTGCTTCTATAATGCATGCAGATGACTCGGTAGAGGAAGACGACAACAGTGATGATCATTCAACGTGGGATCTACAGTTCATGGTTGGAAAGGTCTGTATAGAAATCAAATACTGGAGCAATATTTGCATGAAAAGTCATCTTGAAAAACTTTTTCTCACCGAAAACCTCTTTTTTTAATGTAGTGTGATGAGAAGATTGCCAAGACATATGAGCAAGAAGCATTTCCGAAACAGACTGAATGCTCACCCGACAATTCACGACTCTATGAACAGCACATGAGTGAAGCGATGTCGGCTTATAGTAAGGCTCTAGCTGAGGCCAACAAATTGGAGGATTCTGCAACTCTATTGCTCGATTCTGGTGGAAGTGGCCACGGATCGACTGAAATCCTTTATCGACTTCACGCTTCCAGATTGAAGTGTTTAATTCATTCTGTTTCTCGAAAGGAGGAAGAAAGAGGACAGGCAGAACTGGAAGCGCTACGATTGACCGAGAAATATCATTTTAAAGATCATGATCTACTAGTTGACGCCATGGATAAGAGTGTGCACGAACGAATTTGGATTGTTTTTGCTGATGTTGTCGATGGACTCTTCAATTGCCGTAAGCTCAAACCTTACTTTCATCGATCGGTATATCGACACGCCCAGGCATTGATGTGGTCACCTGTATTTTACGACCTGGCATCAAGCAAAAGAAGCTCGGACATTGTTCCCGCTACACACAGCTATCAAATAAAAGGCCTTGATAGTTCCAAGCCTGCAGCATTCAGTGCAGAGAGTGTAATTGGTGCTCTGTTTGATAAAAAACGCGTTCAGCTCTGTGCCGTTTGGGTAACAAACAGCGGGACAGCTTCCCCATTTCAAGCCATAAATAGCACAGTACGAAAGTACGACTCACTGCGTGGAAAATATATCGGTGCATATTTGGAAACATTACGCATCTGCAATCGCCGACCTGAAGTCGAAACGCTCATGAAGTGGTTGTATACGAGCAAACGTGATCTACCGTCGTACTTTCAGGCAGGTGCAATGAATTACGGCGACAAACCAACTACCTCTCAAACCCAAGATCCGTTGCTTGTTGCAGGCAGCAAGAGTTCCCTCATGGCCAATGGTTTTCTTCTATCTGCAAAACGAAGAGGCAACGGTGTGCTTGCAGATGTCTTGATGCACGAAATATCGAAAAAAGTGACCACTGTGGCTTCGTCGAAAAATTCGTCAACAGATGGCAACAAAATTACAGAGTTCTACCTTAAACATACATATGCATGTTATTTGCGTCTGAATTGTTCAATTGAAGACCTCAGCAGAGTACGTGCGTGGAAGTATGGTTCCGGATCGCTTCGTGAAGTTGAAGCTTTGTGTCAAGCGTACCTCTTGGTTGCTGATACAAGCAAAGCTGACCTCGCAAGTACGAGCGACTTTGGAGATTGGTCCGGTGGGGGCCGAAAGTCATTGATCTTCAAGGCTGCTGTTGAGAAATGCAAGGCAATGTTTCCTTCTCTGTCGGCGAATGCCGTATTTGGAAAATCCAAACCAAAAAAAGCGAAAAGCGGCAGCAACATCCTCCACGATGACCAGGATCCCGATGAACTCGAAAAGGGTAAGAGAAAGTCACCGTCAGAATCCTCCCATGAACCGACCGAAAAGGTTTCCTTCGAGGTTGCAGTGCCTCTTGGATTGAACCCTGGTGACACATTTTTGACAAGTGTCAAGGTTGGTGGATCCAATTCAATGAAAGTAAAGTTGAAGGTTCCCCAGGGTCAACATTCTTCCCTGAGATTCCATCTCAACGTTCCGAGGTCAAAAATGAATCAGAAAAATAAAAAGCAGAAAGTAAATCAAAAGCTAGGAGGTGGGAGAAGTTGAATACGGGTGATTACACTTGTAGTCATTGTATGAAATTGGAAGCAACTGAATGCAGATTGAGGACAGACGCATATTACTATTAGTAGTACGTAGGTAGAAGTACTAGCTACTAACTTCATTCCACAAAATCAACTACCAGTACTACGATAGTTCTACGATACTTGCTCAACTACTACTTGTTGCTTAAGTACTTGTGCAACTTATGATACTCTAGCTTAGCTAGAACTCTCCAGTACTTATATTGTTCAATATGTAGATGTATCTCATCTAGTTCTTTCTTGTTGCTTGCTGTTGCTCTCTTTCAGTGGCTGAATACAACAAACATTCTTCTGGTAAGAGTATCATCTCTCCTTCTCCTAGTATTGTCCTCATTCTCAGCATCCTCATTAGTGGTGCTGTGTCTGGATCTGCTCTTTGAGATATCGTTGTTGCTTGTCTTTGCACTCAAAAAAAAAGTATTCATCACTAGTATCCTGATTATTTATAATGATAGGTCTAAATTGATCATTAAGTAGCTCTGCTACCAGTGCTGGTTGGTTCGTAATAGGGTTGGGGAGTGGAAGAATGATGCTGTGAACAGATTCACAATCATTTGAATTGACTCTTTCAATCTTAGGCCCGTGCAACTTGATTGGGAATGGTTGTGTGCATCATCATATTTGCCATAGATCAGCCTTCTGCTTGTGTCATCTCAGCTCTCTGCACTTCTTGTTGTCAAAAAATCAGCTTGGATTGCTTCTCTGATTTTCATCAACTACCTCTCATGATCAGCCCTTAGTTGCTCCTCTTCCAGGCTTGTCAGACTCCATTTTTCTTGTTGTTGTTGTTGCTGCTGCTGTTCTTGTTGCTGTTCTTGTTGCTGCTGTTGCTGCTGCTGTTGTTGCTGTTGTATCACAAAAGGTGATTACACCCTATCACATAACCAAATCCCTTGTATTTATGTCAAGTTGATTGCATCTGTGCCAACACCAAATCTGATGAGCAAGTGAGATGGCTTTCCCATGGTGGTGAAGGCTTTTGCAATACTTGTTATATCTGTGGAACACTCCTAGTTCTCCAACATCCATATCAGCCACCTGTTCAAAATTATATTGTAAATATCAGTTTCTGTTTTTTTCTTCTTACCAGCCAAACATATGTTGTTGTAGCCCCTCCAAACACAACAAACCATGAATAATGCCAAAAATTTTGTTTTAAAAAAAAACATTCCTTTTGGTCCTGGTTGTCCTATTTTTATGCAAACTGCATATCACACAAACGTGGGTTGTGGCCAGAGACAGTGGCTCTCCCACCACCACCACCACCACCACCACCACCATGGAGTTCTCCAGTCTCTCCTTCTTGTGTTAGCAGCACACATTACTTACTTTGCTGCAAAACACATGAGAGAATTACTCTTTGGTGTTTGTTATGATTCTGCCACAATTCAAAAAATATGTCAAACCTAAAACAAGTCAACCAACCCTCCCAAGGAGGGGACCTACCAACTCTGTAAGAAGAATGTCACCTGCACAGAGGAACAACTACAAACCTTGTGGAACAATATATCCCAATCTGATTCCCTTCTCCTCAGATGGGCATGTAAGTCCCTCAAGTCTATGATGGAAATGTATTTGAATGACCAGAATGGTTCAGCAAATGACAAGTCCAGTACAACAAATGACAAGTTTTATTCAGCAAAAGGAGTGCTTCCCTTGCTAAAATCAGATTCAGATGATGAATCGGACAAAAATGTAAACGTGGATTGGCAAAATTGTCAAACTTTTGTCAAATATTAAACCTAGAAAGAAGCCCATTGGCTTTTTCATGACAAGTACAAGTCATATGCATTGACACAACCAGCATGTTCAATTTTATGGATACAAACAACAACAACATGGTGGCAATTAATTTCAAGAACAACTAATCAGAGAAGATGAAATTTTGTTCCATGTGTGGCAATTATGACTGAGAGAGGAAATGCATAGAAAAATTGTGGGCAGTTCCAGATCCTCTTGTCAAGGAATTCAAGGAGCTGATCAAGTCTGGTCTGGCAAAATCTGATCCATCAATAGATCGGACCAAAGTGGTTATGGTTTTCAATAATCTTGAGCAGCCAATGAACAAAAAAGATAACCCTATCCCTCACAATGACAAAACATTGCAAAAAGCATTACATTACAATTGTCATGAGAGGGATCAGGCCATGAAAGAATTAGTGCAACATCAACTGAATAGCAAAATGGGAAGACTGCATCTTAGATCCCATTCTTGGAAACTTGGCAAAGCAGACAGGCATTGGCACAACAGTGGCTAAAGCTCTCTCCACCAAAATTTTTGGCGGGATGAAAATATCTGTAGAAACATTGGCAAAGGATGCAGCATTGAATACAGAAAGGAACTGGGCAGAATAGAAAGCTTTCATGCCTATGAAAGAGAATAAGATTCATGTTCTACAGTCTTCATTCTTTGACTACAAAGACAGGATAATTTTCCCATGCATCAAGGTTGGACCACCTCAACCTGGTTCCAAACAACTGCAAGGACTGAATTTTGTAACCAGGAATTGAAACATTTCCCTTTCCTATAGGGAGGCCCTTCTTTTCTCCACAATACTACTACTAGTGGTGTTATTACAAACAAAGTGGGTCTGGTTACAAAAAAGCGCACAGTGCACCTGTGCTCACTTGTAAACAGGCAAACGTACCGCAACAGGTACACAAAATGTGAGCAGTTTTCTACAGCTCAGTGGCTCCTCTGTATGGTATCAGCAGCTTGCTCCTCTGTATTGTATCAGTGGCTTACTCCTCCATATTGTATAAGCCGCTCCTCTGGTGGTGTACTAGTATCATATCATTAGTACTACTAGTAGTAGCGGACCTGGTATTGACGGACGCTGTATCAGTGAGCATCCTCCATATCAGCATCCTCCGTATCATCAAGCCTCTGTAAAGCAGTAACCTTGCACTGCATGGATACATCACGTAATTTTGATGGTGCTACTCGATTGATTGTTACGGAGTAAATGACGACTGTGGCATCGCATCTGCTGCTGTCCAGCGCTAGTACTACTAGTAGTACTACAAGAACAAGTACTATCTTCAGCAACAGCACCACCAACGAGCTCTTGAGAGCTTGTTGCAGTAACTTCAATTTGATCTCGAACTTAAGCTCTCTATCTCAGTGATGTTACTGGTGTACCATAAATGTAACCAGAAAATGTACTCTGTTGAGGTCCGTGTTATTATTATCACTTGGAGTTTTTGTACTGTGGGTTCGAGAGCTTTTACACGCGCGGACCGTGCGACGCCACAGTTAATACATACCGTTCAGGCGGCAATTTGGACCGTGATATCCACATGGAAGACCTCTTGCTCTTCGCGTGTCTCATGAAACATCCCCCCGAAGATGGGTTCTGTGGATTACAATACTAGTAGTACCGTAGGTTCTACGAGAAGCATACGGCACGTTTCATGCTGTGCAGATCTCGACAAAAAATCATCCATGAAACCTAACAGTAGAATCTGTCCCCCCGTAATGCGATTTTACACGGCGCTCATGTCGAACCCCCCCAAAAACTCGGAGAACGAACCAGTGAATAAGGACAAAAGCAGTATCAGCTGCAAGTGTATTAGTCACTATCCTATCCATACGTCCCTTTTCTCTGTTATATTCTTCTCTTTTCGAGTAGTCGAAGCATAGAAACACCAAGTCCTCATGCAGTGCATTTCGCCTTCCACACTGCTCCAACAAGACTGACGAAGTGGACCTATTAGAAAGTTTGATCCGAGGATATCGAATTGCCCAACAGAAGAATCAGGATTTTGCTGTTCGTAAGTTCCATCCCAAGAAAAACCGGAAGAGTGAGATTGATTCGAATCATATTACACAAAGGCAATAATAAAATATCATGTATGCGACAGCAGCTCCTGTTCCTAACGGAGTTGCGTCTCCGATAGGGGGATCTAGTGGCGACGATCAAAAGGCATCCTCGCCATCATCCCCTTCTGATGTCACTACTCCTTCCGATTTGAAAAACAATTCAAACACAACCGAATATAGCGACGTCAATATGAACAACAACCAGAGTCGAAGAGATCTGATAGGCGATTGCGCTTTGGTAGAGATAATACACCTACACGATTGTTTGCGCGGTGCTCTAAATGCACTGGAAAAAGACCTCATTGATCTCAGCAAGATGCTCTTGTGCAGTACTTCAGCAGCCGCGAGTGATGCCCAAGAAGCGCAACGCATCCAGCTGCAAACGCACCATCAATCAATAAGCAAACTCGAATCCAAGGCCACGGCTCGATTCCAGGTAATATGGAGTGTCTTCCGTGCCCATTCTGCCGCCGAGGACGAATTCATTTGGCCAGCCTTGCGCGACAAAACCCAGGGGGCAGTAAACGGGAGTCCCTGCGGGAGCCCCTGCGGGAGCCCGAGGTATCAGCCGAACCAGGAGCATCACCAGCACGAAATTCCGTCGTATGCGGTTGCTGCTTCGAATGCCCGTGCGGTGCACGATGCTTCGGACGATGACGAGGTAGTAGAGCAAGAGGAATACGAGGAAGATCACGCCGACGAAGAGCGCATGTTTACGATGATGGATCATCTGTTGACAAGGCTTCACAAGGCACTCGTTCAGCTTCACCAACGAAACACTGCTCGCGACTTATCGAGTCAGAGTGCTCCGCATTCGCAGAAGAACGGGATCAAAAAGAACCTCGACTCGATCACCAATACTACCAAAGAAATTTTGTCCCTTGCCAAAACTCTAAACCAACACTTGATGGTACACCTAGAGAAGGAAGAAAAAAATTGCCTTCCTCTGGTAGTCAAGCATTTGTCCAAGTCTGAAATCCACGACCTTGTGGGACAAATCATGGGAAAACGATCCTCCGACACGATTGCACAGATATTGACAATGGCGGTTCAAAACCTGAAAGAGGCCGACCGCGAAAACATGGTCAGCCACATGAAGCAAGCCATGGTGGGGACATTTTTTGAAAGATGGTTGTCTATGACGGGGTGGGAGGGAGGAAACGATATAAAGGACGGCGTCTCTGGAACGAACACTGGGGCGGAAGGAGTTCTAGGTGGCACAAGAAGAAAACGCTCTGCATCTGTTGCAGATCTCTCGGTGACGGCTGAGTCTTCCCCGGGAGGAACCAGTGACAACGACGCGGGGGTAATATTCTCCAGGAACAAGAGGCAAGCTGGTAATGATTCACAGGGGAAGGGACCAGGTCCGATAAATTCTATGGCAGAATCGCTTTCGCAGACCATCAATAAATGCCAGCCAACTGGCGAAATCACCAGCCAGGAAAATCTACAGAAGCTAATCCGGGCCGTGGTCACAAATCCGAGTCTGACACCCAGGGAGAAAAACACAACGATTCAGGGTCTTCGTGCATCGGTTTGGAAACGGAATCAACAACTTACGGGGAAGATTGCAAGAACCGACAACCAGACCAAAAGTCACACAAGCAACACCAACAGTTGTAAACATTTGCATTTTCCTTCAGCATACTACCAGAGGGATGCAACTGGAAGAATTGTTTGCGTTTGGAAAATGGACGACAATACCAATTTCAAGAACGAAATTGTAAACCGTATACCGGAACAATTCATCCCGAAGTTTACGGCAGCCGAACTCGCTCCTACCTATCACGACGGAACAACATCTGGAGACGTGTTAGGTTGCCATCACTACCCGAGGGCTTGCAAACTCAGACACCCAATAACTGGCAGTCTATTCACGTGTCGACTTTGTGCCGACCAAGATCGTGAAGCATCAGCACCGAACGAGAAGGAAAAGCCACCCCTGGATCGGTATGCCGTTACCGAGATCACGTGTATGAAATGTAAATCCTTGCAGCCGGCCGCGAAATATTGCGTGAACCGAGAGTGCGAGCTCCATGAAAAAGGTTTTGCAAAATACTTTTGTGACATATGCAATCTTTATGACAACCGCTCACGTCCCATCTTTCACTGCCCATACTGCAATACATGTAGATTGGGAAAAGGACTCGGCATTGATTTTCGACATTGCATGCGGTGTAATGCCTGTGTGTCACTTGAAGACAAGCATCATCGTTGCATTCCACAAAAACTACAGGGATCATGCCCAATTTGTCACGATACATTATTCAGTTCCACTGAACGCCTCAAAGGTCTCCGATGTGGTCATGTAATGCATCTTTCTTGCTACAATGAATACTGCCGTGGTCAGAACTACACGTGCCCTCTTTGCATGAGATGCATGGAAGACATGACTGAATATTTTTCGCTCTTGGACCAAGCTATTCGCATGCAACCTATGCCCGCTGCATTCCAAAATACTATGGTCAATACGTATTGCCAAGACTGCGAAAAAACAGGACAATGCCGGTATCATTTTGTCGGCCAAAAATGTTCTCATTGCGGATCTTTCAACACTCGCGAAATGGGACGGTATGAGCTGACCCCTAGAGTTTGACCTAGGCCGTGGAAAGTAGAGAAAAGTGTGCTATTCACTGACGTGTCGTGCTTTCTAAAATCAACCCCAGCGATACATGTATGCTACTTTTCTTTTTCTAGACGGTTGGTATCCGCTTGAGCATGATTGGATCTTTAAGTAATTTATCGATAATCTAATTTAACGCAAAACATTTTTTCATTCTTTGATAATTTACAGTGACTAAAAGACTGGTTGTCGCTGCTATTGTTGTTACAGTACTGTATTTGCATGGTTCCAACAGCACAAAGAAGGAAAGATGAATCAAGGTGAATACCATCATTTGTTACTACTAGCTTAAAATCCTTGATAATCACCACCTTCTGCATCAAAGCCAGGCGGAGGACCGTCTGACATATCACCGAGTGCCCCGCTATCCATTACATCTTGCTGATAGTTGGCCCACTGTGTTGCAAGCTGCGTCTCCATGTTATTTTTACTTCGGAAATTAAAGGTCTTGCTGCGGGTACTCTTCAAGTCTCCAATGCATGCACTCCAAAAGTCGGATGAAAATTCAACATTTGGACTTGCTGGAAAACCAGGCACGCATTCTCGCCGAAGGAATGCACCCGTGAATCCGGACGCCTTGATGAGACGAGTGGCCTCCCCAAGCTGACCTCCTCCGGCTGCGGTTTGAACCGATTTCATGATGGAAACTCTTTTTCCGACCGATTTTGAGATGGAAGGCAGGGGCAGATCTGTGGCTTCGGAATCTTCCTCACTAGAAGTTGGGTTGATAGTGAGCACGATGGAAACAGGATCTTCCCCCATCAATTCGGATAATTTGTCGACAAGAGCTTCCATTTCTTCCTCCTTCCACAACGCTGCCGTCGAATCTTTGACAACAACTTCCGGAATAGGCTGGAGTCCGCATTCAATGGCATTCTTGCATATTTTTAACCAAGATGAAGGCTCACTGTCGTCTCCGGAAATGTCACCCATTGAGGAAATTTCAGACCCTCCGTTGATTGATACCAAAACCCCCGCAACACCCGTGTCTGCAATTTCTGGCAAATCTTCTACAATTCGTTTGGTTTCGTCATTCTCAGCACCGCAATAAATAATGGGAACTGGACCCGGAAAATTTCCTCTTGCTTCTTCTTGTTCCTTGCAAAACGTACGAAAGGTACCCAAAGCATCAGATGTCACGAATGCAACGTTTGCCTTTGCCCTGCTTCGAATGTTCGTCGAAAGTTGAGTGATGGCAGGACCTTGCAAGAGAATAGCCGTGGGATCTCTCGCTTCGGGGACTACTATTTCTGGCGAGAAAGTAAGTTTCCCACTTGGTGACGACAATGCTTGTTGGATTTGCGCACGGTTGAATTGAGCTACTTCCGCTGATAGTGACATAGAGTCATTTGGAAGAAGAAATGCCAACAACGGACAAAGCGCGCCGAAGGTTTGATTTTGAAATCTCATTTGCATTTGAATCTACCAGCTATTGTAACCATTCGGTATTTTGCTTTTGTTTTAGTTCACTTTCTCAACGATATCTGATGCTTCCTCCGTCTTCTTTTTTTCTTGATGTTCGTGTTTACTAGTTTACGGTAGATTATTTTTTGTTGACTCTTGAAAAATAGAATAAAATACTGGAGGATAGTACGAGTACTTTACGTACTCTTTCGTACTAGAACGTCATAAACGTCAGCCAACGTACGTAGTGGTATTTGTACTACAAGTATTCGACATGTGCGGTGCCGCTCGTACCATACGGTAAGAGGAACGAGGACCGACCATGCATGAACAATTACACTTGGTATGTACAGGACGGTAAGGCCCTACGTACCTGGTAACTGGTACTTCAGTTCATTTCGAGGAGACCTTTCATGTTTTGTTTTTCCACGTGGAATCGTAATCATAAATCATCGAAGTCGAAAAGAAAAAAATACAACGAAGTACCGGTACGAGGTTGTGACCAGGGGTGATAATTTATGAGGGGTGCGCAACGCCTGTACTAATCTGTTACTAGGGTAGTACGGTAGTACCACCAGACCTTTGTTAGTAGTGCTTCAAATTCTGAACCGCAGACAACAATAACACCTGCAACACCCAACAAACACTTACTACTTGACTCTCAACTATATGAGAGATGTGCATATGAAGTTTG